TTCAGCGAGCTCCATCCTATGATGCAAACGGTAACTACTATTTTCCTTCCAAGGATGTAGAGAAAAACAGAATTTCATTGTAGGTATGCCTCAATGCTCACAGTATTTTTGTATTAAGAAAAGGAAGGATAAAAAAAGAAGAGTCTTTCGATCAAAAACAATCATACCTAAGTGGATTCTTCTTCTTAAATACTTTCACAACAACTATTTAATCGCATGGATGAATGCACACACTTTTTCTACGAACGGAGAGAATGACAAAAAGAGCATAGCCCTTCGACCAAATGCATCATACCTAAATGTATTCTTCTTCAAATAAAAAAAAAATTATTCCGTGCCTCAATGCAAAGACTCTTATCTTAAACAAGACGCAGTGGGAAAAGAGCATAGTTCTTCGACCTAAAGCATTATACCTAAGTGTGTTCTTCTTGACACTGAAAAAACAATTTTATTCCATGCTTCAATACACACACACACTTTTTCTGCACGGAGAACGAGCGAAAAAAGAGCAAAATCCTTCGATCAGAAGCATCATACCTAACTGTGTTCTTCTTGACACAGAAAAAAACAATTTTGTTTCACACCTCAATGCACACACACTCTTTCTAAAAAGAGAAACAGCGAAAAACGAGAAGAGTCCTTGGATCTGAAACATCATAGCTAACTGTGTTCTTCTTGAATACCTACACAAACACTATTTAATAGCATGGATGAATACAAACACTCGTTTTCTGTAAAGGGAGACAATGAAAAAAGAACATAGTTCTTCTAGCAAAATCATCATGCCTAACTGTGTTCTTTCTCTGCAATGTGTACAGAACAATAATTTTATTACACGGCTCCACGCTCACAGTCTTGTTGTTTAGAGAAAAGGAACGATGAAAAGAGAAGAGTCCTTCCATCAAAAGCATCATATCTAATCGTGTTGTTCTTCTTTAGTATCTACAGAAAAATAATTTACTTGCATGGGTCAATGCGGACAATGTTTTTTTTCCATAGAGAGAGAACGATGAAAAGACAAGAGCCTTACGTTCTAAAACGTCATACCTAATTGTATTGTTCTTCTTCAATACATACGGAAGAATAATTTTGTTCCATGGCTGAATATTCGCACTCTTCCTAACATAGAGAGAGAATGGAGAGAAAAAGAAGAGTCCTACAACCAAAAATATGATATCTAGTTGTGCTCGTCTTCTTAAATACCTACAGAAAAATAATTTATTGCATGGGTGAGCACGCCCACTCTTTTTTACACAGAAAGGGGACGATGAAAAGAGAGGAGGCCTTCGACCAAATGTATCATATCTTACTCTGTTGCGCGGCGTTAAATCATAGAGAAAAATAATTTTATTGCATGTCTTATTGCCCTCTACCCTGTTTTACATGGAGAGGGAATGGCAAACGAGTAGAGCACTATAATGGAAAGTTTCATACTCAATTATGTTCTGCTTCTTGAAAATATAGAGAAAAATTAATTTCATACATGGTTGCATACGGGCACCTTTTTCATATAGAGAGGAGACGAGAAAAGAGAAGAGTCCTTCTACCTACAGCTTCATACCTAACTGTGTTCTTTAATTGACGAGATACAGAAAAATAATTTTATTGCATGCTTCGTTGCCTCCTACTCTTTTTTACATGGAGAGGGAATGATAAAAGAGTAGAGTCCTATAATGAAAAGTATCATACTTAGTTGTGTTCTGCTTCTTGAAAACATATAGAAAAAAATATTTTTATGCATGGCTGAATATGTGCACTTTTTCACAAAGAGAGAGAACGACTAAAGAGAAGAGCCCGTCGACCTAAAGCATCATGCCTAACTGTGTTCTTCTTGAAAACATACAGGAAAAGGAATTTTGTTGTAAGGCTTCATGCGCACGTTCTTTTTTGCACAGGGAGAGAGCAAAACAGAAGTATGCGTTGAGCAACGTTGTCACATCAAGATGCGCTATTCTCCACAGTGCCATACAGAAAAAAGCACTTTTTTGACATGGTATGGTTGCCTTGCTCTATTCTTCCATATATGCACAAGAAAACTGGAGCACGACGATTGTGTGTAAGACAATTGTGTGTAAGACAATTGTGTGCAGACAATTGTGTGCAAAACGAATGTGTGTTATGTATAAATAAATATTTTGGTCAAAAAAGTGAATGACAATGAACAAAACAAAGTAGACAAAATAACAAAAAAAAATCAAGAAAAACTAATCAATAAACAATTATAACATGAATGTATGAGCAATCGCTTTTATTTTCTGTGTATTATCATTTGTAGGATTATCTAAAATCCGTAAAATTCTCGATGCTGTGTTTTGAGTTTTGATCCTCTTTGGTTTTAGTATGAGACCTGTTACTAGTTGAGAAATTTCACCGTCTACGTACGCTTGCTCTGCTTGAAGGTCGCTTAAAAAACGCCAAAATCCAGGATGGGCTGAATCCACAATATTGTTAAGACGTTGTTGATAGGCGAAAGCTGGCTTAACACTGCAGTAGATGCTGTGGCAATTGATGTAGCAACAATAGAATGCGTGGTGATTGTTGTTTTAGTCAGATTACGAATTTCAGAACAACATTGACGAATTCCACTTACGCTCGGATTGGGCGCATGATTGTGATCGCCAAGTCGATGACAAATTGTGTTATTAGTTGTATGTAATCTAGCTTTACATTTTTGTTTGTTGCATTGCGTGCATCGCCAGTATACTTTATTTCCGTAAGGACGTT